ATAACAGATTGTTGAGAGGTATTCAACTGATTTGGTTGCAGAAGGTTCTGCTGTTGTTGTTGCTGCTGCATCTGAGACAGCTTATGCTTCATAACCTGTTGTTGCTGCTGGTAAAGAATCTGTTGATTCTGTGGTTGTTGCTGTTGCTGTTGCTGTGGGGGAACAACTTGTTGCCTACCTGGCATTTGTCTCTGAGAACCAGGAAACATACCCTGTATATTGGAGTTCTGGCCAATAGAATTACTCGCAGAATTTTGCGGTTGCTGTGTGTTGGAATTTTGGCCAACATTCTGGCCGGGAGTCTGGGATAGAGTCGTTACCGATGACAGGTTAGGTTGGGGTGCAACATGATTTTGAATGGTTTGGGGTAGAAGCTGCTGACGAGGATTAGGATGTTGTTGTCCTGGATTAAGAACTTGAGACTGTAAAACAAGTCCTGTGATAAAGGAAAGAAAACAAATATGGATTAGCACAATATTTAACATGAAAACGCCATTTGGATTTTAACAACACATGGAATAGATAAATCAGAAAATTCAAAAGGAAATAAAACAACACAAGAAACATAGTGAGATGGCCATTAAGAGTCTCACATATAAGATATGGTCTAAAAATATGTCTATATAAGCGGTGGGTAGTCGTAGCCTCTATAAGCTGGTTTTGCAAAGGTTGAGTTAGACCCAACCGAAAAATCAAATATTACATCAGAGCTTATCCAAGATCTATAGGGCCACAACATTGTTAGACCACTCGGGTGACCAAGTGTCTATTCCTCCTGCTGGGCATATGGGGGTGTCTTAAGAATCCCACATTGAATCAAAAATGGCCTGAAATTGTGTTTAGAAGTGGTCGATAGTACTCCCCTATGGTTAAGTAAGGGTTGCGCTAGGTCCAACCTAAAATTCCAAGAAGAGCCGATAGAATAAACTTCATTTATTAGATCCAAATCAATAGGATGTTAATAACTATATATATAGTCCCAACAAAATTTATACATGCTAACAACTATATAGTCCCAACAACATTTAGCAATGTGTGTTGACTGTTCATCAACCTATCTGTTATTGATGTGGCCATCTTAATTGTTTAGGTGGGTCAATTAATTTCCTTCCAAGAATCATTTAGAATAGAATCACTGAGAAACAATACTAGAATATAAAACTACAATAGTCAAAAGTCAGTAAACAAATTCTTTAACAGCTAATAAAATTATTCAAAAACCATGCCAAGCAAATACAGAACTTCTATTTAGCTTTCTCAATATTTAAATACATATATAATTAAATAGGATTTGCAAACTTTGGTACCATACCGAATACAACCACCGAATCCCCAAATAATATATGCTTACCTTGATCGGGCGGATTATTGCTAGGACCTCCTTCATTTGATGTCATATTGCTGGCAATGGTGCTTTGAGATTTGGTCTCCATTGTAAGCATTTTCATAGAAATCTTCCGGAGATAGTCAGACTGAAAAGAAGGAACACAAGTAGCGAGTTAAACAATTGATGTTCAACATAATGGAAACCTAAGCTGTCTTTAAGGATGAGAAAGAGAAGATGGGAGAAAATCTCAATGTTGTTCATTGATTAAAATAACTAGTTATGATAACATGATGACTAGTATTTATAGAGGTCAAATCCCTAACTTATTTGATTCAGTTAGTTAGAGAGATCACATAAGACTAGCTAGTTACTTAAAACGAGAACAACTGTTTGTGAGAACAGTTGTTCAATAGGCTATATACAGTAAACAACATAGTTGCATGAGTAACCATGAATGAAAGTGGAAGTTGCACAATACTCATCATGAATGTACCTGGCTTGTGGCAGCAGCATAAATCTTATCTTCAAACCTTTGAGCAATCTTCCGAAGTTCAAGCAATCCCTCACTCCCAGAAACAGGTAGGTGTTTTTTTAATGTGTCCATTCTACAAATGAATAGCAACATTATTTTATATTAGATAACTAATGTGACAGAGATTGTTTAAACAATGCCACAAACATGCTAAAAATCATGCATAGAACTTAAAATTATCTGGTAGTGATTTGGATAAACAACATTCATCTGGATATGATTGCATCTATAGAAGAAACAAGAGAAATATTGTTACATTTTGTTGACAATTCTTTGGCGGGACTCAGGATGGAGTTGAATTCTCCAATCAGCAGTGTCGAGAGTGGGTTCAGAACTCTGATTAGGCATCCAATTATTGGAATCCATCCAATCTCGATTATCTGATGAACAAGAAAAAGCACAGTCATAAGCAAAATTCTAAAAATAAAAACACTAACTGATGGTGTAGTTAGCTAATCGCGGCCAATTGCGGTGGCCGCCGCCGCAGTGATGCAATGTTACGAGAAGGAGACGGCGCATGTAGCTGCCGTTGCGGAGTATCGCGTCCGCTAGAATGAAGAATGACAGTAGAAAGACGAACCAGCGACGTTTTTGAATTAAGCTGCTAGGTTAAACGAAAAGCAGAAGTTGGGGCTTTGGCAAGTTGACACGATGAAATATAAAAAGGTTGTTTATTGAAACAAGCCTTTTTATATAGATAGAGTAGTTGACGTCAAAACTTAAGAAATTCTCTTTTTTTTACAAGATATTTTTTCTTCCGGTGATTAACATCCAGGGGTGTGTCTAGAATGAGTGTCGTTACTCAATTCGTTCAAAATTAAATTGAAAATTTTTAAAAAATTTAATTGATATATATTGATAGAGTAAAGATTTTTTATACTCTCAGTTAATTATGTTCCTTGATTTATTAGAAAATTTTGATTTTAATTTTAACCACTTATAAAATAATACTAACGGATGATTGTGATGCATTGACACTGTCAAATTTTTTATACTGGTAGTGCATAACAATTAATCTCTTTTTTAATTCACCACATGTATTATTAGAATATCATGTAAAAAATTTTAAAATATTTAAATTCTGAAGATATATTTTCAAACGCATCACAAACAAATACAGTATAGATTAATTCTGAGTGATGCTCTAGGAGTGTGTCTTTATTTAACTCAAATGTTTCTCTGACTAGAAATAGAAGTAGAAAATCAAAAAGTTGTATTTTGATAAATTAAAATTAATATTCATAACATAAAATCAACATTCCATAGATGATGTTAACATAAAATCAAACATTACGTTTTAATATTCAGTTTGACGCTTCAATATCTTCACAATATCTTCGACTGATCTTGAAATCGTCGCTTCCAACTCGATCGAAAATTTTGTTTCGAAACGGAAAAATGTTGTTCTGGATTGAGCCGACGCTTAGCCCACAACCAAACAGACCCAAACTTCAATGAGGTTGGGCCCAAGAATACCACGCTGACGGGCAGAAGTTCCGCCGAGCACAACCTTCCCCAATGGCGAGCCTATGCCAACAGCTGACGGGCAGAAGTTCCGCCGAGCACAACCTTCCTCCATGGCGAGCTTATGCCAACAGCTGTCGGGCAGGACCCTCGCAGCCGACCAGCTAGCCTCTTTCTCCCCCGTCGTCGGGCAGGGCCCAGCCTGCCCGGGTAACTCCTCGGACCTCTCCCCACCTTCTCTATGTGTCCCTCACACAGGGACACGTCATAAAGTAACTACCCACGTCTTGGAGATTCGGTCTTCCTCCTCCCGGATAATGCGGAACCGTTACCCTAGGGCGAAGACCACATGCTGGTCTTCACGACGCCACGTCAACCCTAACCGTTACTAACATTAGGCCTGGCAGCCCAGCCCAGTGCTAGGTAACCGTTGGCCCTGCGCTGGGGGCTCAGTATAAATACCCTATTTACTAGAGGGTCAAGAAACTTAACTTTCTTACTCTCTCTCTGTACTTGCTCCCACTTTCCTCATCACTTACTTTGACATCGTGTGGCAGGTCACTGATTCCTTTCTGATCAGATAAGATCAAATGTATTCCAAATATTCCTTACATTTGCATCCGTCTTGCGCTCACAATTGTCGAACTTAATTTTGTCTTCATTGTTAATTGACGGTGAACGATACTCGAACTTCACAATTTTTCAATTATTTATGTAAAGTAGGAGTTTATGCACTTCGTATTGCAAATCTGAAAAATAGGTGTACTCGTTAATCTTAAACTTTTGTATGAGTGTCGCGTTGAAGAATGAGACATTTAAGACATAACATAAGAAGTTTATTTGTGACATTTGCAATATTTTTTGTTTGTCAAAAATAAAAATGAAGAGCTTAAATTTATAGAAGTGGTAGATAAATGTTGACCTAAAAGATTCTATCATGTATTAGTGTTGGTTTTGGAGATACATTTTTTATACCACCCTATCATCTTATTCCAGAGACACATCTCTGAAATTTCTTCTGAACGAGACAAAAAATATAACTTGTGTGTTTTGTTCGATAAATAAACAATTTTTTTAACAATCATCAAAATGTATTAAAATATTTGAAATTGCATATATTACACTTCATTAATATTAATATACAATTACATGCACTAAATTTATGACAAAAAATTAAAATAAATTGAAAGATTTATCGTCGGCTAAATATATTAGCCTTCATTAATATTAATACAGAGTTACATACACTTAATTTTAGAGAAGTTAGTGAGTATTCCATGTAGACATAACGTGGATGCTATGAATTATCAAAATCTTAACCTATAAATATTTGATGCTTGTTACATGAGGGAGGCATATCAACTTTGTTATATTTATAATGTAAGCTCCGACATGTGGTCTAATGTTGATGTTGAAGATAATGATACACCAACTATAAGATGAGTTCAGGTAGGCTTAAGAAGTTATGATATAGCGAACATGATGATGAAAATAGGTTAAGGATAAAGAGACCTGGTAAGACTTGGTGTAGGTTATAGATGTACCAAATGCTATAAATTTGGTCATAGGTCTTTCATTGAACATCAAATGGACATCAAGTTACATTTAATATCAAAATACATTGAATATCAAATTGCATTGCGCATTGAAATTCCATTCATGGTTTCCCTCCATTTGTTACAAAGACTTATAAAACAGAACAAAAGAAAACCAAAAACAAATAAGAACTAGGATGAGTAACATCATCTTCATCGTGACACTCTCAACCTCCTTCTTCAACTTCTCTATCTTTTTTGATCTTGTCTCTTTCAAAAGTTCTTTACCAAATTCTTTCCCGAAATCTTTTCCAAAAGTAGTTGTGAAAGCATTAAAATAGGCATCATCTAGACCACTGAATTCTGCCAATAAAAGAGAGGTTGATGTCCCATGAGTCCTTATGACACTGTTTTGTTGAAGGGAGATCAAGGGAATCTTTTGCAAAGAGTTCATAGAATTTCCTTGCCCAGCATCTACATTATTACTTGGTTGAATTGTATTCAACATATTTTGTTGCGTTGTTGATAAACCAAACATAGAATTGTGCTGCAAGCTCGCAGCAGAACCTTGTAAGTTTGATGGCTGCATTTGAGAGATCATTAGATTTTCATGAGACTGTACTGAAGTAACTTGAGATTGTGACTGTGGCATGAAAGACGTATGAGTTGGGAGAAGCTGTCCTGGTTGCAAGGACGAGATGCCTTTCCTCGGCCTAAACGAATTTATGAGATTTACAATGTGCTTTTCACATGCTCCCAATTTTTCCTTGAAACTAAGCCTAATGCTGTTCTTAGGAAGCTGTAGAAATAGTATTACGCGTTCCAATATCAGTCTATATACCCTCAGCTTTTCAATATGATCTGACTTTGGCTGTTGAGGAGTAGAGTCGTACTGATAAATAAGAAATGGAAATTATATTAAACGGAGTAAAATTAGAAATGTCAATAATTAATTAAGGCTTTTAAGGAAAAGTGAACTTCGTTATGATTGAGAAGAATTTTGTTTTCAAAAAGAAAAAGACTGAGAAGAATCGTGAACATACCTGCTGAAGTCTCATAACAATTTCCTGGAATATTTCATTCAGATCTGGCAAGTAGTCTTCTTTCATGGTTTGCAACTGTAGATTGAAATAGGCAAAGTCAAATAATCACAACATTGGTATCCTTAAAATCCCTCATACAATAATGTTTGAATCACTCTTGCATAACACTTCTAGATATGATGTGAGAAGTTAGTTTCGGTTTTGGTTTTTTTTCCTATTGTTTTGTGTTATCATAAATTGCAAGTTTCATTTTCATGCCTAAACTGAGATGATGTCTAGAGAGTTAACAGTTTTTAAAGTGAAATTCCAACATTAAAATCCATCATATATAATAACCCTTCTCTATTTTATTATACGATTTGCTTCACTAATTTCGACAGTCCTTGCAAGACTTTTGTTACAATATAAAAGTGATAAAGAATATAGCATAGTACCTTTTGGTATAATTCTTCTTGCCAATCACCCTCACTTAGTTGTTCAGTCTGTGTTGTAGAATCTACAGAGGCTACAAGAAATATGATACAAAAATCAAATGAAAATAATACAATGCTAAGAAAATACACGAGTGTGATAACCTATGAAGCACATACACCAGAAACACAACACCGACACTGACACGTCAACACTAAGAATAATTTAATAAAATGAATAAATTAAACATAATCACAAGTGTCCGCATCGGTGTCGGACACTGACACAAATACACAAAGAAAATGATGACAAGGCAAAATACATGGATGCAAATACATACTTGTGGATGTTTCAGGAAGAGCTCTTTGGGATTGATATAATTGTTTTTGCTGATCAAGGACACTTTGCTGTTGATGAAAGGCCCCTGATGCTTGGAGTTTTTGCTGCATATCTCGTTGCGAAGAACTTGGCTGCTGTTGCAAACCCATTTGCTGTTGCATCTGTGCAAGCTGACTGTGAATTTGAGACATTAATTGCTGCAGTGAAGCCTGTGGCTGGGACTGCTGCGACTGAGATGGCAACAACTTTGATGCATTGTGTTGCAGTTGTGGCTGCATTGAAAACTTTGGTTGTTGCAACATGTGTGCAGAATGATGGTTTGTTTGGATGCCTTGGTTGCCAGAATCAGTTCCAAACTTCTGTTGCTGTAACCCCGATACATTATTTCCTGACAGTTGATGTATATTTGTTAGATTATTTTGCTGATTTATCAACAGTTGTTGCAACATTGCTGTTTGTTGCTGTTGAGCAATAGAATTCTGTAGCTGTTGCTGTTGCTGCCTAATAATTTGGGAATGTTGCTGATGCCTAGACTGCGTTGACTGTTGAACATTGTTAGACTGCTGATTTTGTTGAAGGCTAGACAGAAACGATTGCATCGTTGAAGGCTGCATAGCAGATGATGTTTGCATAAGTGGTTTTTGAGAGGTATTCAACTGATTTGGTGCAGATGATGTTTGCATAAGTGGTTGTTGAGAAGTATTCAACTGATTTGGTTGCAAAAGGTTCTGTTGTTGTTGCTGCGGGGGAAGAACTTGCTGCCTCCCTGGTATCTGTCTCTGATAACCAGGAAACATACCCTGTATATTGAAATTCTGGCCAATAGAATTACTCGCAGAACTTTGCCCGGTTTGTTGTATGTTGGAACATAGGCTAATATTCTGGCTGGGAGTTTGGGATAGGGTCGATACCGATGGCAGGTTAGGTTGAGGTGCAACATGATTTTGAATGGTTTGAGGTAGAAGCTGCTGATGAGGATTAGAATGTTGTTGTCCTAGATTGAGAACTTGAGACTGTAAAACAAGTCCTGTGATAAAGGAAAATAAAACAAATATGGATTATCACAATATTTAACATGAAACCACCATTTTGATTTTAATCACAATACTATAATTTAAAACTAAAATCATCACAAATCAGTAAACAAATTCTTTAACAGCTTATAATATTATTCACAAACCATGCCAAGCAAATACATAACTTCTATTTAGCTTTTTTAATATCTAAAAACATATATAATTAAATAGGATTGCAAACTTTAGTACGATACCCGAATACAACCACCGAATCCCCAAATAATATATGCTTACCTACCTTGATCGGGCGGATTATTGCTAGGACCTCCTTCATTTGATGTCATATTGCAGGCAATGGTGCTTTGAGATTTGGTCTCCAATGTAAGCATTTTTATAGAAATCTTGCGGAGATAATCAGACTGCAAAGAAGGAACACAAGTAGCGAATTAAAAATTGATGTTCAACATAATGGAAACTAACCAATCCTCGAGGATGAGAAAGAGAAGACGGGAGAAAATCTCAATGTTCTTCGCAAAGAGAGATCTCTTAAGACTACCTAGTTACTTACAACGAGAACAACTCTTCGTGAGAACAGTTGTTCAATAGGCTATATACAGTAAACAACATAGTTGCATGAGTAACCATGAATGAAAGTGGAAGTTGCACAATACTCATCATGAATGTACCTTGCTTGTGGCAGAAGTATAAATCTTATCTTCGAACCTTTGAGCAATCTTCCGAAGTTCGTGTAATCCCTCAGTCCCAGAAACGGGAAGACGTTTTTTTAATGTGTCCATTCTACAAATGAATAGCAAAATTACATTATATTTAGATAACTAATGTGACATAGATTGTGTAAACAATGCCACAAACATGCTAAAAATCATGCATAGAACTTAAAATTATCTGGTAGTGATTATAGAGCAAACAAAAGAAACATTGTTACATTTTGTGGACAATTCTTTGACGGGATTCAGGATCCAGTTGAGTTCTCCAATCTGCAGAACCTTGATTAGGTGTCCAATTATTGGAATCCATGGAATCTGAATTATCTGAAGAACAAGAAAAAGTACAGTCATAAGCAAAATTCTAAACTATGGCGAGTATTGCAAGATGACACAATGAAATGTTGAATGCATCATTTTTCACTCTTTTGTTTATTAAAACAAAATCTTTATATAGATCGGTTGGGTTCAAATGATGGGGAAGGTAGGAAATGGATTTTAGCTAAGGGAGGAGAAACTTAGGTGAGGGATTTTTTAAAATAATTTTATAAGGTAAGAAATGGATTTTAACAATGTAACAGCATATTATATATATAAAAAATTTTAAACTTTATATATTTGATGAATTCAAGACATGTCATGAAAGACAATCAATACAAAAGCCGGCAACAATGTAACAAATTTAGATATCGATATTGTTGTCATAGGTGTATGCACATACATGAGTCTGTTTGTTTTAGAAAATGTTTCACCGTCATGCATACATAAAAATTACATTGGCATTTTGAGAAACTAAGAATCCAAATCTTGCTTCAAAAACGAATATGAAGATGAAGTTTTAATGAAAGATGATGGTGAAGATTGTGAGAGAAAGAGTGAATAATAAAGTGACAGAATCAAACTATCAAAGATGATTATGGTTTGAAATGGTGGAGTACTAACTAAACATACATGAATATCTCGTAAACAAACACCTGTTTTCATCGATCTGAAAAAAATTATGAGGTTGTATGAAGATTGGGTATGAAAATATGAATTCAAATCAAAGAATTATGGACTAAAACTAAAAAAAAATTGGTTACAGGAACTAAAACAAATAACGCACCATTTAATAGGGACAAAATGACTATTTAATCCAAAATTCTGGATTTGTGTTCATTGTTTATTTCTTGTGTTTCCCTTTGCATAAAAATGATTTCTCACACTTCTATAAAGAGTAAAGACTACCATTGTACAATAAAAATCCACCACCAATTCTATTAGATTATGAAGTTTGCAAACTCATCTCCCACTATTAAAAACAACAACAAAGTTAAATGAAACAAAGTAAAGTTACCAACTGAAAATTTAAAATAGAGTAAAGTTATCAATTGAATACATAGCCATGGATGAAGGTGTAGAGAAAGAAGAAAAATATGGATTAAAGGAGAGGAAGAAGTTCAAATTGCAAAATCATTTCATTTTTGGATTTAGTCCTCCTTCCCATTATATAATTTATATACATTTGTGTTGCAATTATTAAATAAGAAACATAAGTGGCTTAGTGGAGAGAATCCTTGTCTTAAATATAAGGTGTCACGTTAGCCACATTAGCTTTAGCTTTTTTGTACTAGAGAATTGACATTAGTGAAAAATATTTAGGGAACAAAATCAAAATTATGCAAATTTACTGACACAAAAAAACTATTTAAGCCGATTAAAATTAGCCAAATTATAAAAATCATGTTTTTACGAACAACTAACACTATTATAACAAATTTACGACATTTATTAATTTGTAAATGTTTACCGAAAAGTTCATGAATAAAAATTAATCTCTTGCATCATATTCAATCAAATGATTAAACAACTTAATCACACAAAATTATAATTATTTAAATTGAACTATTTAATCACAATCTACAACTTAATCCCCCAAAATTATAATAGTTTGAATTGAATTAATGATTTAATCATATCCTGCTCTGATATTACTGAAGAGATTTAATAGGGGTTTTTCAAACTTTTTGATCCTCTTAGTGGAATAATCCTAATAAACGGATCTTGATTAAATCATTCATCACAATTCAAACTCATAAAAATAAAGATTTAAGAACTACCTCTTGAAGATTGTGCTGAAAATCCACCACAATCTATGGAGAATTTCTATCACTCTTGATGAACAAGATTATTATCGATACACAATAACAATGAAAAGAAAGAAAAATTGTAGAAGAAAGAAAATTAGGGTTTGACAAAATATAGAAGAAGATGGTGATTTCTGCAGAGTAATTCTCTACCCACAAACTGTGGAAAACTTATTCACTTTTCAACTACAAAATTCTATGAATTTACCAGCAACGTTTTAAAAACCGGACCGGTCATCTAACCAGTGAGAGTATTGGGTCACTGGTTTATCGGTTGAACTAATGGGTCACTGGTCGAACTGCATGACTAAACCAGATAACTCGGTTGAATAGACCTGTCATTATAACAAAATCATATAGGTATAAAACCGGTTGAGCCGGATAATTCAGTCTCTAAAAAAATATAACTATCACTTAATTTTTTTGAAAATATCATATCATAAATTCTCAAGTTCATAATTTAAATTCAAATTTTAAATATAAGTATCAAATACAATAAAGTACAAAATTACAAAGTGTAATTGCAAATAAAGTCTAATTGCAACATAATATAATTGAATAATTTATAACAAAATAACTCCAATGTCTACTTAAGTTTAGTTCCAAGGAGGTAAAATTATTTCAAAACAATGATAACAAATTTTTTATAAAATTTTTATAACTCAAAATGACATTGTTTGCATTTAAATTTTAATTAAAAAAAAGCATTAGAACCGCCGGTTTTTCGGTTTTTCCCGGTCCAACCCGATTTGCACCGGTTTTGACCGGTTTGATGACAAAGGCGGTCCAATTATTGAACCAGACCGGTTACTAGCCCAATTCCCGATTCAACTGGTCTGACCGACCGGTCCGGTTTTTACAACTATGGTTATAAGAATAGGGGTTACTCTATCTATTTATAGTTTTAGGTTAGCTTGCTCCTTAAGGCAAAGCCAAAAACACAAAAGTCCAAAATATCTAATTTAGTTAACACAACTTCCCGTCGAACAACCTGCTTCAACATTTCGACACACACACTAGGCTAATTTCGACACATCCTTATTTGTATCGAGCACTACCTGCTTTGAGACAAGGAATTACATTCTCAATACACCTGTTAATTCATTGTGTCTAAGCTATCTATATTCATCATAGCTCTTAGTTTTTTGAACACTTCGACTTAACTCCCTTCGTCATGATATCTGCAATCTGATTCTCAGTTCTACAGTGTTCCAAGTTCATCTTTCGTTCTACTACCTGCTCACGAAGATAGTTGAACCTCATTTCAGTATCTTGCTTTGTTCATGTGCTATCGGATTCTTCGCCAGATTGATAGCAGACATGTTATCGATCTTCATGGTAATTACTTCATAACTCTACATTGTAATCTCTTCGACTAGGTTCACCATCCACTTTTCCTGACACAGAGAAAAGAATATATGTACTCTGCTTCGCACAACGACAATGCCACTATTGGCTCCTTTCTCGAACTCTAAGCAACTGGTGCACCACCTAGCATAAATACATAACCAGCTGTGAATTTTATATCCTTAACATCACTGCACCAATTTGAGTCGGCTGCAGAAAACAAAATTCCATCATCGAAAGATACCTTAATATCCTCTTTTTCGTTGTTAGGTGTGATACCTTTGACTTCTGCATGAATCTATTTACCATATCTACACTGTATGCTAAGTCAGACCTTGAGTGACAAAAGTATCTTAGTGACCCAATAAGTCTTCTATATTGGGTTGGATCGACATCATCTTCATTTGAATCTTTTGACAGTTGCAACCTTGGTTTAGCAGGTGTCAAAGTCGAGTTGCATTCTTCCATCTCAAATCTCTTGAGAATTTGACTTGCATATCTTCTTTGCTGCATCATGAAACCTCTACTACTCTTGTAGAATTCGATGCCAAGGAAATATGAAATGTCACCCAGATCAAACATTTCAAATTCCTTGCTAAGTTTTGAAAAGTATTTTCGGTGAGTTGTTTTATTGTATCCACATGGATTGTGTTATCAGATAAATAGATGTTCGTCATTCAATAGTTTAACGTTCTAAGAGAAAGTTTTTCAAAGAGTTTTTGTTTTGTAACATAATTTTTGTAGGAAAGGGTAAACTAGAAAATGGATATTTTGTTTTAAGAAAAACATGTCAAGATTAGATCTCGTTAACCCCTTTCATACATATTTGATTAATCAAGCATGTGAACTTAGTTTCAATCAATACAATCGCGTATCCTTGCGAATCCGTTTATTTCTAAAGCGGCTCCGTGAGTATTATTGTTTTAATCGCTAGACGATTTCTCAAAATAACATACAAAATAATAAACATAAAGATTGATACAAAGCAAATATTAACTTTCAAATCTATGTCTAGAGTTTGTTGGTTAATAGATGAAGAAATTAGATCAAGACTTGAAAAATCTATGTCTAGAGTGATTTAAATTATAAATACAACATTGAAAGTAAAGATCTTCATCATCTATTGATCATAAACCTTGTTCACATACAAAAGATCAAAAGAAATAAATAATAGCAAAATTAACTACCTCTAATCTTGACACAAAAGTGTTTAGCTACCCATCACCATGGTAGTTTGATCAACAAGTAAAAAGGAAAGCTTTGCTAGCATCAAAGTCGAAGAATCGAGGATTGATGCTCCAAAGATTTGATTTTCACTTCTTCTTGAGTTTCCAAGCTTTTTTGACCTAAAAACCCTTTCTAATTTCTAAAATGTTGAAAAGTGTAAAAGTTACAAGAGTTGGTGAAAATATCTTCCAAGTAAGATATTTATAGCAAGTGCCCAAAGTGCAGTAAGTGGCACTGCGCTAAGCGTCATCAGTAAAATAGAGGCAAAATCCCAGAAAGCGCGCTAAGCGCGGTAACAAGCCGGTTAGCGCGATTGAAGGTTTTAGCTACTATCTCACCATCAAAAACACGTTGGAACTGTGCTGAAAAGCGCGCTAAGCGCGGATTACCGACACAATCGCCTTGAAAATGATCTTTTAGGCATTCCTTCCTTAACCATAGGTTCCTACCATCAAATATAAGAAAGAAGACTTGTCAAAAAGTATCAAAATGATAATAATTCATAATATTTACAATAAAATTAAAAGTTTGCATATTTACACTAAAACATAATATTAAGAATGCTTTCACACATCTAAGGCAAGGAACAACAAAAGCAATCATACTTAAGATT